CTTAACAATTAATTTATAATGTAAATAAATTATTTTTGTTGTGTGCTTTTTATCATTCACATCAATTTTTTTTGCATGCACATTGTGGAAAATTTTAATAGTGTATTTTGTTTTGTAAATTTATAGGTCAAAGCATTAATATATTTGTCATTTAATGTAAATATTAAATTTATGTAAATATTTATTAATATATGTATTTCTATTCAAATAAAAATTTATATAAATACAAAATTTACATTTTTATTCAGTTTTATCTGAAATGACGAATTTTTAAAATTTTATTAAGAATTTGTACTTGTATAGATTTGTACTTGTATATAAAAATAAATAATTAGATAATTTTTTGATACTTAATGAAATTCTATTGCATTTATTTGCATGATTTAGAACAGTAGTTATAAATTGGCTATATATTCTGATAAATCTATATTGAACAATGTTTATTGTATCACTATAAACTGTGATGCAATAGTATCTAAGGGAACCATAATGCAATTTCTTCAGATAAAAAAGAAACTGAAATGTAGTTATTTTAAACATACTTTATATTATTGTAATACACAGTTATTTATAAATCTAATTGTTTCAAGTTATAGTTTGGGATTATTTAATATCTTGCATTTCTTTTTTTGCTTTCAATTTTTCTTTATCATAATCGCAATAAATATCATTTATCAAATAAATAATTTCTATTGCATGAGTATAATTTGCAATGTAGTCAGTTTGTTTGTCCTGAATCTATTAATTTTCACTATAATAAATTATGTATACTATTGTATGCTCTATTTTTACTCTGCTATTTCTTGTTCTATTGTGTTGTAAATATTATTTTCGATTATTTTTATTGATAATACTTTATGTATTTATTAATGCACCTAATAATTTTTTATTGATGTTTATACATTGTTTGGCGACTTATCGATTATATGTTCATATAATTTGTTTACCATCTGCCTCTTGGCTCGTAAAATTATTTAAATTCGTTATTTTACTTGGATCTAATCAAGAAAATTGCACTTAATTTAATTTTTTTTATTTATTATAATTGCACTTTTTAAAATTTTGCTCTTGTTGTTTTGTATTATTTTATATAAAATTTTAAGCATATAATTATATAATTATATTATAAATGTAGAGAGTGTAAAAAAGTGCAGTTAGAAGGAAAAGACCTAATGCTAGCAGGAGAGGCAGTAGGAAACCAAGATATTGACTTTTTCTAATCGAGAAAGATGGAAAGAGAGAGACGAAGAAATTTACACAGGACATCGATAACTCGCTTTTCTTTCTTTCTTTTTCTCTATTTATTATATATTATTTGCATTATTTGTATTATTCATATTATAATAAGGCACTGTACTAATAAATTATATATTATGTTTAATTATATTATAATAAAGTAAATTTTTTTTATAATAAAGTAAATAAGTAAAGAAAGTATATAATATAATAAAATTATTTTTTAATATTATATTTATATTAATCTCTTTTTAAAAATATCTCACATTTTATTTTATCTTATTTATGTTATTTTCCCAGAAATATTTAATTTTTTTTCTTAGTCAATTTCTAAAACTTGATTTATTTACATTTTTGGTATTATATGACAACGGTTAATTGAATAATTTTTAATACTTTGATCAATTATTATGTCTGTTACAGGCTACGATAGGTATAGATTTCTTAAGCAAAACTATGTATCTTGAAGATAGAACTGTGAGATTACAGCTGTGGGATACAGCGGGACAAGAACGGTTCCGTTCTTTGATACCTAGTTACATCAGAGATTCTACTGTTGCGGTCGTTGTTTACGATATTACCAGTAAGCACTCGGTATATAAGGAATACGGTGTCCTAAAAAACTATATGCCAGTAAACTTTGAAAAATTTGATGTTGAAATATTGTTCAAATAAAAGAATTTTAAAGTTTATTCATATAAAAGATATATTTTACATAAATTTATTTATAAATTTTTAGTTTAAAATTTTAAAATCTGCTTAGGAGATAAATATATATATATATATATATTTTTTTTTAGATTCGTTAATTTTAATTTTTTAAATCAATTTTTCGTTTTTTAAATATTTATGAACAGCATATTAAATCGATAATTTTGATTGATTCTTTTTTTAAACGAAAGTTTAATAAATTATTCTATTAACGAAATTTAATATTAATGAATAATGTTTATGATAATAATAATATAAATTTAATTACACTGGCATACGTTATTATTGGTACACCTTGAATAAATAAACCATGACATTAAAATTGCCATTATTTATCAGACGCCAACTCGTTTCACCAAACATCCAAGTGGATAGACGATGTGCGGACTGAAAGAGGAAGTGATGTGATAATTATGCTAGTGGGCAATAAAACTGATTTGAGTGATAAGAGGCAAGTTTCGACGGAAGAAGGCGAGCGAAAAGCAAAAGAATTAAATGTAATGTTCATCGAAACTAGTGCTAAGGCTGGCTACAATGTTAAACAGGTAACTGTGTCAACCTTTTATATGCTCGATACATAGAGAAACCTTCTCGAACCGTGCGCGCGCGCGCGCACGTGTGTGTGTATGTGTGTGTGTGTGTGTGTGTGTGTGTGGAATAAAATTATTGTTATTATTAATTATTAATTATTTTAGCTATTTAGAAGAGTAGCGGCAGCTCTGCCGGGTATGGACTCCACCGAAAACAAGCCTCCCGAAGACAGTATCCTTTGCGTAAGATACTTATTGCACGCAATTTGCATGGCATATTTTCAGGAACGTTCACGGCAACTTCTCTTGTTTTACGTGTACATAATTCCCACTTTACCTATTATTATTATCTTTCAACTTTGTATATTAGTATCGATTACTTCGTTATCATTTTTCTTTTCCATTACTTCTTCAAATAGTGAAAATCGATTTTTATGCTATTTTTTCCGTTTTTATTTACTAATTAATTTATTGTTACTATTTCCTTTCAAACATGAAACTTCCACATTTTATTTATTTAATTTTTTTTTCAAGAATAGATTTTAACAATTAAAATTTTCATATTTCATTTGTCATATTTTTTTGAAGAATCATCCACCTAATCTAATTTCTCGCTTTTGATTTCGGGATTGGATTTATTTGGCAATCCGCCGGACGTCGTTACATTTGTTTTGTTATACTTTTGTGTTTTCCTTAATAAGTTCTTTAATTCGTAGTGCAAGAGGTAGTGCTCAAGGACACGCCAATCGAACTGAAAGCCTCGGAGAGCAGTTGTGCATGCTAAGTCGTCGTCGGCCTGTACGGTAGCAGGGTATCGAATCGAATCGAATCACAGAGTCTTAGTAATTTCTGAATAGGGTTTAAATCGTCTCAGATTATTCTGGAGCGGTTTAGGGACTTTTTCGAGAAACATAAACCGATTTTCCAAAGAGATTTCTAAGAAAATTGTTTTTCGATTTTTTTTTTTTTTTTTAGTAAGCAATTAGTAAAGTATTAATATATTATCACATATTATATATTACAATTTAATATTAATGTGTAATATATTAATATGTTATTGTTTACTTAAATATAATTT